GGGGGGGGGAGTTATTTGTATTGATCCAGTATTAACTTTCACACGTTCGCTCTTTTTCACATGGAGGAATCCAAGGTCTTCTTGTCGGAGCTTCCACTCCCTGCTCTGCCATTTGGGAGTTTGAACACTGGGCCTCATTTCTAATGAAACTCTTCGACCCCCCCTCACCCGCCCCCCAGCCCCTCAACATGTTCTATCCTTGACTTTCCTCGTGCATAAACCTGAGGAACACGACTTCTGTCCACCCCGAGAGAAATTCTAACAAATTACAAAGTGTTTTTGGAGCAAAATAAGTTTTATATAAACAGTGCCGCGGTCGAAGCCGCTGTGTCAGGAGCATCGAACGTATCATTTTTTTAATGATTGAATGTATAACAGCAGCAGTGGGGGGGGGGTGGAGTTTGAAGGACCTGCAGTGAAGTAAGTGAGAGTTTTAAGGTGGAAGAACGAGAAAAATGTCATGTACAAAAACATGAACGTGCTCAGGGCTCCACGGGAGTTCCCCTGGCAGTCTAGGCCTACAGCAGCATTCATATGTACTTGAGCTAGCGCTAATGAAAAGTTAAAACAAATTTAACTTAAAAAAACTTTAAAAAGTCCCGGACTCCCAACCACTGGGCCGTGGACTACATATGGGTCGCTCAGAAAGAATTAATTTTTTTAAATTTAGTTTTATTTACTTTTACCTTTGTCTACAACGATGTTTCATTTTCAAAAACAACCACTTCTGTCTGAGTCTGAATACAAAAATATATTGACATTATACATGTAATAATGACATCATATATATGTCTACTTTGTTGTGTTTTGTTACGTGTGTGTGACCTCCCCTCACACACACACACACACACCTTCTGCCGTTGGTCTGTGAAAATCTTCCATTAAACCGGTCGGTGGTGCGAGATAAAAAAAAAAGGGAAACGCGGTGGAGCAGTGGTGTATATGAAGGCAGAGGGTTTAATATAATGTCCTAGATTTCCGCTGCAGCCTCTGGAGCTGCTGTCAGTAGCTGCTGTCAGTAGCTGTGCGTCAGCGGTCGTACTAGCTGCAGGCTTTGACATACTTATTGGGGCGTTCTGTTAGAAAAGATTTACAGTAGTCTGATGTCGATGTCACCGCGGCGACGGAGGCGACGGCGGGTTTTTCTTTAGGAGAGAACAGAGTTTCTGAAGCTGAAAACTCAACATGAGTGTGTGTTAAATATGACGGTGTGTGTATGTCTGTGTGTGTGGGGGGGGGAATGACTGGACTAATAATAATAGTAATAGTAATAGTATACACATATTCCATTCTTATTATTGTTGTTGGTAGTAGTAGTAGTAGTAGTAGTAGTATACACTGTATATAATGGAATAAAAAAACAATAAGTAGTAGTAGTATACACTGTATATAATACAATA